ACCAGGGACTGGAATGGGTCTGGACGCATGGTGCTGTGTCACAAGCTAGCTGTGTGTCTCTCTCATCCTCCCTGGACCTTGGTCTCCTCATCTGTGAAGGACTGCTGAGTTGGCTTTGAGAGCTTCCACATGTTCAACATTCTAAGATCCTATGAGCTACAGCACTCTGGGAAACCTAACTGCCCTTAATGCCCTGCGTTTAATCCTGCTATTGTTTGCACGAACCACTCCTGAAGGGGCGAGTTGCTGGAAACCACTGTCTAAATATAAAACAGAGGACTGGAAATACCTCTCCTGGGAGCAGGCAGGTGTGGGCTTCAGGGCCAGCAGGGTGAGCAGCTTGTAGTCCTTGTAAACAGCTGGCAGCTCAGCCCAGCTGCTGAGAGATCAGAGAAGTGTGGGCTGCTCACCCACGTGCAATTATGTGTAAGATACGGCAAGTCTAAAAATAGCCTGAGCTCAGCCACAGAGGTTAATACTGGCAATGGCTTTTAACTCAACTGTCAGGATGACAGGAAGAGGAGTAACTATAGCAACAGAAAAATGAATACGTAAAACAAGTCTTCTGAAGTTGACAGGAAAGTTAGGTTTAATAAAACATGTATTTTCAATTCCTGTCTCTCAGTCTTTGAATTCAAGTAGTTCAATTATGTGGAAGTAATAAAATTAGAATTTTGATAAAACAAACGTTCCTTTAGTTTTGGGTTCCAGGACCATAAGGAAAGAATCGATAACTTGTTGATGTTATTAGCTCTATAATTAAAGGACCATTTGAAAAGATGCCTTTATATAATTTTCAACTGAGAGGTTTTTCTCTGTATTTGTTCTATCAGTTATAAAAATAGCTTTGAACTGTAGTTGACATTTTAAAATATTACTTCTTGTCTGATGAAAATGTAGGGTGACACAGAATTGTCTTGAAATGAAAGGAACTTAGTGAAAACAATTAACACGAAGAGAGGATCCAGAGAAATAACTCCGAGAGTAAGTTTCTGATGCTGTTCTCACAGCTGCCATTGGTAGCCCAGGGCATATTGGAGGCCCAGCAGTGCTCATGTCAAGGAGTCTGTATCATTCTGTTCTGCTAAAGCTATTCTTGATCAAAGAGCTCATGCACCTCCCTCTGAGGACTGGCATATCCCAAATTCCTGTATCTTTCTGCATCATCTGATAAAGGAATATTTAGTTAAGTGCTGGGAAATTTGGTATTGGTCCCACTTCTCCCACTAACTAGTTGTAGGGGCCCAGACCTATCAATACCCAGCACTTTGCTCATGGGTTTGATGAGTGTCTCAGGATCTTCTCTGAAAAGGGACTGTTAGGAGTTGTGGGGACATAAGGAGAGAATTTGTGTTGAAAACTCAACTTTGGGCCATGCCCTCTGTTGGGCTTTAAAAACATTAGTATTGGCAACAAATTGGCAAGTTAGATGATTGTGGCTCCACTGTATATATGAAGACATGATCATAAGCAGGCTGAGCCAAAAAGTGACAGAGTCTGATCTCATTCTGTGTCTGGTGCCACACAAGGCTGCCTTTCCTGACACTACTCCAGATACTCTTACAACTGACTCTTGCCTACAGTTTAAAGATGACCTCCTAGGCGCTTCAGCCATCTACAGACTTTCAGTGACTTTCCTGCATTTTCTAAACATAAAAAATTAGGTCCCCTGGAGAGTCCCTCTATAATCTTCGTTTCATCCAGGCCATCACTGTTAATAATTATTTTCACATCAAATATATACTACTGTGCTACCTATCTTTTCCCTTAATAATATAGCATGAATATTTCCTTATGTTGATAAAAATATTTTAATATCTAGTATTAAGATTGCATTACACGGTTATAATTAGTCATTTACTAATGGTTTTTTCAGTTGTTCCAATTTTGTTGCCTTAATAATCAGGAAAAATAGAAAACATCATATGGAAAAATACTAGGGTACCAAAGTCATTTTTAAAGGAAGTACAGGAAATAAATAAATAAATAAATAAATAAATAAATAAATAAAGGAAGTAAAGGAAGCCAAAAAGTAAATCAAGGGCTTTACCTGAATTAGTCTTTGTGTCTTACTCTAATTTTTCCTTGGAATCCAAACTGCCTACGACACAGGAATACCCTTTAATAAACTAATAGTATAATAGGCAGGTGAAATGAAATGCATCTGTGGGCCCTGGGGCCAGGGATTCTTTGTAGCATCCTTCAATTCTGCTTTAAAAAGGCAGTCCTGCTATTTATATGGAGAAAAGAAGTTGACAGCTCTATGCAGGGATTCTGGCTGAAAGTGAAACGTACACACAAAAACAAATTTAGTTTTGTGGCTTGTTGAAAATTCACATCTGGTAGGGGCTTTTCTTTAATTAAAGTGATTCCCCCTCCCATGCAATGAGAAAATACTCTTACAGTGCTGACTGAGAGACCAAAATCAGAGCAAAAGCTCTTTGAAAATTCTGTGCTTAAGTAAAGCTGCTTTAAAAGCAGCTATGTGGACCAAACAACTTAGAAATTTCCTAACAGGATTTTCTAGAGTTCCAGTAAATCTTTCTCTCAGTCACTTCTTTGTTCTCCTACTTTGGTTGAAAACCAAATCAAGCAATACAAAGGTCACCCACACAGCCAGGAAAGCAAACATACACATATATACCCGCCCACACACTTGCTTTAAAATTAAAATTATATTTAACTAAAATTAGTTACATAATATATACAATTTATATATAAACCATCTCTCTGGGATGGCCAGGGTGGCTCAGCAGTTGAGCATCTGCCTTTGGCTCAGGGCGTGATCCCGGGGTCCGGGATCAAGTCCAGCATCGGGCTCCTTGTTGGGAGGCTGCTTCTCCCTCTGCCTATGTCTCTGCCTCTCTCTGTGTCTTTCATGAATAAATAAATAAATAAAAATCATAAATAAATAAATAAAATCATAAATAAATAAATAAATAAACTATCTCTATTCATCACTTCTTTTTGGTAAATTTTAAAGTGGGATGCTATGAGAGTCATGAGAACCTAGTTCTATATGAATTTTTCAAAATTATCATAATGAAGCATATAAATAAACCACTGTGACAGGGTGAATCAGATGTGACAAGGGTAACATTTCTTGCTGATAAGAGACACTACCCTTTTGATCACCTGCTGGGATTTCTTCTGTTATTTCTGCCTCTTGAGCTCTTTTCTCTGAAGGAGTGGTCAGGAGAAGAGAAATAAGGCTGAGGCTAGAACACAGCCCAGCCAGCTGCCTAGAAGACACTGGTAGACAAGCAGCCACCGAGGTCAAGCACCTCTCCAACCATAAGAGGATATTTGCTCCTTGCTAGAGGCCAGTATGGTTCAGGCTACACTTAAATGACAGCTGTTCTGACTACATGCAGTGGACTCATGGTCTAACAGCTGAGAGATGAGTGGAGTCCAAGGTAGAGTCCAGTGAAGGTCCCAGAAATGGGCTACTCTTAGGACCCCTGCCAGGCGGTAGGGGCTTTGGTGGATTCTCTTTGGTTTCCCCTCAGAAGTGGGATGCATCCTGATTTCCTGTAATACTTGGTATTGCCATTTGTCCATACTCAGAGAGCAGAATACTGGCCATTTCCATTACAGATTATGTTTTATTCTCCTAATTAGTTCCTGAACTACAGATACTAGATACTGAAGGATGGAAAAAGAAAGAATGCCCATAAGAGAACTGAAAAAGAGTAACAGTCTGCATTACAAAGTTCTGCAATCAGTACAGAGTTGCTAAAGCAAAACATACATGATCCAGGAGAGACCATTATTAATACAAAATACAGAACTTTCACAAATGTAGATGTGACATATGTATGACTCACATGCAAACAGAACTTCAAACTAGGACATTTCTGAGAACATAAGCAGTCAGAAGTAAAAAAGGTCATGTAGTCCTGACATGCATTTTAGGTTGGTGGTTAAAGACACGTATTTTTTTTTTTTTTTAAAAAGCACTGTCAAAATAATGATCACATAGGTAATTACAGACAGGTTGGCACAACAGTAGAGCTGACTATTTGATCTCGAAAGCTCAACGTTTCTTTTGTTTTGTTTTGTTTTGTTTTAGATTTATTTTTTTGAGAGAAAGAGAGAGTGCGTGTGGTGGGAAGGGTCAGAGGGAGAGGGAGAGAGAATCTCAAGCAGACTCCATGCTGAGCAAAGATACTGATTCTGGGCTTGATCTCATGGCCCTGAGATCACAACCTTAGCTGAAACCAAGAGCTGGATGCTTAACCAACTGCACCACTCAGGGACCCTTGAAAGTGCAACATTTCATTTTGGTTTGAGGTAGACAAATATTTACAGAGGGGAGTAGAGCAGTTAAGAATTGAAATCTAGGGATCCCTGAGTGGCGCAGCGGTTTGGCGCCTGCCTTTGGCCCAGGGCGCGATCCTGGAGACCCGGGATCGAATCCCATATCGGGCTCCCAGTGCATGGAGCCTGCTTTTCCCTCTGCCTGTGTCTCTGCCTCTCTCTCTCTCTCTGTGACTATCATAAATAAAAAAAAAATTAAAAAAAATTAAAAAAAAGAATTGAAATCTAGGGGGATCCCTGGGTGGCTCAGCGGTTTTGCGCCTGCCTTTGGCCCAGGGCGTGATCCTGGAGTCCCGGGATTGAGTCCCGCGTTGGGCTCCTTGCATGCGGCCTGCTTCTCCCTCTGCCTGTGTGTCTGCCTCTCTCTCTCTCTCTGTCTATCATAAATAAACAAAAATAAATCGTTAAAAAAAATTAAAAAAAAGAGAATTGAAATCTATGGTTAAACTGCTTGATTTTAAGTTTCTACTCTCTTTACTAGTGATATAATCTTGGGATATTTAATTAATCTTTCTGAGCTTCAGTTTCCTCATTTGTACAATGTGGATAGTAACAGTACCTCTACCACAGTGCTGCTGTGAGAATTAGTGAGATAATGCATGTGAAAAGTTTAACACAGAGCCAACCGGATACTGTTGTTATGACTATCATTACTTCTAGGGCCAAAGTAACTCACTCACCAAGATGAGTGTCCATCACCTTTGCACAGTATTTGCACATGGCATCCAGGTCATTCAACTGTCCTTGAAGGAAGGAAATCTGGGCTTCTAATTCTTCCTCCTGAAATGAAAGGGATAAAAATCAGAAATTTTATTTATTTATTTTTAAAGAGTAATTGATTTTAGAGAGAGAAAGAGATAGAGAACATGCATTTGAGTGGGGGAAGGGGCAGCAGGAGAGAATCTTCAAGCAGACTCGCCACTGAGCATGGAGCCTGATGTGGGGCTCAATCCCACCACCAATGAGATTATGATCTAAACTGAAACCAAGAATCAGATGCTTAACTGACTGAGCCACCTAGGTGCCCCATATGGAAACTTTAAAAAATTTAAATAAAATCCCCAAAGTTCTCCAAAGGATTTGGACAATTTCAAAGAGGCACAATGTCTTTTCAGTTGTAGACAAACAAAAGAAAATAGCAAAGAAATAAGAGCAAACCCACCACTGTCGCCACCAGCAAAATAAGAGAAGGGTAAATGGAATTTTTAAAAAAATCTGGACTTTTTCTAATGAATACAAGCTTTGTGCTATGTGTGAATGCTTACCCATACAACCCTGTATAAAAAAAAAAAGGCCATGCAGTATCTTCAGTAACTGGGCCATACAAACTGGAGAATAAATGCAATTTCAGGCAGATGGGTACAAGAACATTACATTTCCTCACACACATTTAGGGAACCAGAGACAATGATAATCTCCTAAAATGTAAGATTTCTCAAAGCACTTGGAAAAGCTTTGCCCCGACAGCCCGTAAATAGCTGCTCTTACATTTCCTCTTTTGATATGACACAAGAGAATTTTATTTATGTGATTGTTTCTAGGAAAAAATACTCTGGGTTGAATAATTATCTAAATGGTAAAAGACAATCTAACTATAACAACAACAACAAAGTCATTTTTTAAGGAAAAAACTTACATGCAAAAAAATTTCCCAAGGAAATTTGGAAGATTAAGAGAATTTTTTTCAGAGCAAGAGAATACAGGCATACCCTAGAGAGCTTATGGGTTTGGTTCCAGAGCACTGCAATAAACAGAGTATCACAATAAAGTGAGTGAAATGAATTTTTTGGTTTCCCAGTGCATATAAAAGTTGTGTTTATAAATGTAAAAAAAAAGATATGTTTATATCATACTATAGTCATTTAAGTGTGCATTAGCATTATGTCTGAAACAACAATGTATATACCTTAATTTAAAAACATTTTATTATGGGGCACCTGGCTGGCTTAGCCAATAGAACATAAGACTCTTGATCTCAGGGTTTTAAGTTCAAGCCCCATGTTGGATATAGAGATTACTTAAAAATAGAAACTGTAAAAAAAAAATACTTTATTGCTAAAAATGCTAACCATCATCTGAGCTTTCTGCTGGTAAGGACTCTGGTCTCCATGTTAATTGATGCTAATGGATCACAGTGGTGGTTGCTGACACCTGGGGTGACTGTGGCAATTTCTTAAAATAAGATAACAATGATGTTTGCCATATTGACGGACTCTTCCTTTCATGAACAACTTCTGTGTAGCATGTGATGCTGTTTGATAGCATTTTACTCACAGGAGAACTTCTTTCAAAATTGGAGTCAATCCTCTCAAACCTTGCTGCTGCTTTATCAACTAAGTTTATGTGATAATCTAGATCCTTCATTGTCATTTCAACAGTCTTCATAGCATCTGCACCAGGAGAAGATTCTATCTCAAGAAACCACTTTCTTTGCTCACCCATAAGAAGCAACTCCTCATCTGTTAGTTTGATCATGAGATCGCAGTAATTTAGTCACAGCTACAGGTTCCATTTCTAATTCTAGTTCTCTTGAATTTCCACCACATCTGCAGTTACATCCTCCACTGAAGTCTTGAACCTCTCAAAGTTATCCATGAGTGTTAGAATCAGCTTTTTCCAACCTCCTGTTAATTTTGATATTTTTACCTCTTCCTATGCTTCATTAATGTTTTTAATGGCATCCAAAAGGTGCCTCCTTTCCAGGTTTCCAATTTACTTTGCCTAGATCGACCAGAAGAATCACTATCAATGGCAGCTAGAGCCTTATGAAATGTATTTCTTAAATAATAAGACTTAAAAGTCAAAATTGCTCCTTGATCCATGGACTGCAGAACGGATAGTTGTATTAGTAGGCAAGAAAACAACGTTAATCTTATTGTCCGCTTCCATCAGAGCTCTCAGGTGACCAGGTGCATTGCCAATGAACAGTAATATTTTCGAAGGAATTTTTCTTTTTTCTGAGCAGGAGGTCTCGGGGGTGGGCTTAAAATATTCAGTACAACATGTTATAAATAGATGTGCTGTCATTCAGGCTTTGTTGTTCCATTTAATGAGGAAAGGCAGAGGAGTTTTGGCACAGTTCTTACGGGCCCCAGGATTTTCAGAATGGTCCATGAGCAATGGCCTCAACTTATAGTTACCAGCTGCATTAGCCCCTAATGAGAGTCAGTCTGTTGTTCCCTGAAGCTCTGAAGCCAGGCACTTGACTTCTTCTCTGTAGCTATGAAAGTCCTACATGGCATCTTTTCCCCGGAGGCGGCTGTGTCATCTACAATGAAAATCTGCTGTTTAGCGCAGCCACCTTCATGAATTATCTTAGCTTCATCTTCTGGATCACTTGCTGCAGCTTCTACATCAGCACTTGCTGCTCACCTTGCACTTTGATGTTACGGAGATGGCTTCTTCCCTTAAACATCGTGAACCCGCCTCTGCTGGCTTCAGACTTTTCCTCTGCAGCTTCCTCACCTCTCAGCCTTCACAGAATTGAAATGAGTCAGGACCCTGCTCTGGATTAGACCTGGGCTTTAGGGATTGTTGTGACTGGTTTGTTCTATCCAGACCACTCCATATCAGCAATAAGGCTGTTTCTCTTATCATTCATATGTTCACTGGGGCAGCACTTTTAATTTCCTTCAAAAACTTTCCCTTTGCATTCACAACTTGGCTAACTGTGTGGCACCAGAGGGCTAGCTTTCAGCCTATCTCAGCTTTCAACACCACTCCCTCACTAAGCTTAACGATTTCTAGCTTTTGATTTAAAGTGAGAGATGTGTGACTCTTCCTTTCATATGAACACCTGGAAGTCACTGTAGGATTATTAATTGGCCTAATTTCAATATTGTGTCTCAGGGAATAGGGAGCCCAAGGAGGGGGAGACAGGTGGGGAGATGGTTAGTCAGTCAGAATACACATTTATTAAGTTCACTGTCTTAAATGGGTGCGGTTGGTGGCACCCCCAGACACTTAGAATAGTAACATCAAAGATCACTTATCACAGATTACCAAACAAATACATTAGTAATGAATGAGTTTGAATGAAATATGGTGAGAATTACCAAAATGCGACCCAGAGACATAAACTGACCAAATGCTGTTGGAAAAATGGTGCCATTAGATAGCCGTACTTGATTCAAGATTGCCATAAACCTTTGATTTGTAAGAAATGCAGTATCTGCAAAGTGTAATAAGATGAAGTATGCCTATAATCCTCATTCTATAGGAATTTTAAACCAAGTTCGTTAGACTACAAAGAAAGGATGTTGCCAGAGGTGCAAGAAGCTAGAAAATTGATTTTCCAGTCTTAGGTGCTTGTTCTTTCACATAAAAATCTGTGTTGTTGAAAAGAAAGCAGAAGAAACTTAATGAGATATGCTTTTTTCTTAGCGACTGAGTATAATTTGACTTATAGATGGAAATAAACAGTTGAAAAGGTTACTTGTAGGTGTATTATGTTTTAGCAAAACACAATGCAACACTGAAAAGCATTGTTTTTAACTACTGCATAGAGAATGAGCCCTTAGAAATATGCATTTAAAAGCCTGACACAGAAAACCAAATTTTAGAGCTAGCAGTAGCTCTGAAACCAAATTATTGTAAAATGCCCACTGTAGGATATATAAGCATTAATTGTGCTTTACATACAGCACAAAGTGCAGCAGCTTCTACTCTGCTGCTCAAATAATGACCAGAAGACTCAGCCAAGGAAGGATCAGAGGGGTAGGTGGGTAGGCAGGTGCCACCTTCCTAACTCTTTGGCTGGACTTTGAGATGGGAAGGGATGGAGTGTTTCAGGGCATCTTTCTTCTCTCTTTTCTCCTTTGTTTCTGCAAAGGCTTACGTTTTTCTTAATCTATCAGGGTGCTAGAAATTATGGAGAGAAGGCTACATCTGCTGGTTGACTATGGTTATGGTTCGTCTCTAAGACGGCCACCGTCAATTCCTTCCCTCCCTCTATGTATATGCTGTTCCTCTCATCAAGAGGTAGTAGTAGTATCTGTTTCCCCTCCCCTTGAATCTGGGCTGGCCTGGTGACTTGCCCTGACCCAGAGAATGTAGTAAAAGTCACACTGTGCCAGTTCTAGGCTAGTGTTAAGAGGCTGGCCAACTTCTGCTTACTTCTGCTTACCATCTGCTAGAGGAAAAGAGGTACCAACTTGTAAAGAAGTTCAGGCTAGAATACTGAAAGAGGAGAAAAAATATGTAGAGAAAGGCCATGAGAGAAGCACTGAGGTTCTAGACATGTAAATGAAATCTACCAGGACCTTTTAGCCCAATTCATCTGAAGCAAGCTAAGTGGGCGACTCAGTCAACATCACATGAAGCAGAACAGCCCAACCAAATGCCTGACCGTAATCCCATGAGAAACAGCAGTGCTGCTGTTTTAGGGAGTGGAATTTCGGATTAGTGCGTTATGCAGCAATGGATAACTGAAATAGTGCTACAACGGACAGAACTCTAGACTGGTATATTGGTATATGGCACGAGGAAATCTGAGTTCTATTTCTAGTCCCGCCATTAACAAGTCATGTAACCCTAAGTAATCCTCACCCGATTTGGGGCTCAATTCAGCACTCTTTGGAGAACATCTAAATCAGAGACTTTGCTTCCAAGGAGTTTATAATCTTGTAGCTGGAATAGGAGTGCTATATAAATTAGCATATGAGATAGAGCACATGCAAGTCCTATAATGAAATAAGAGTAATTCTTTTGGAAATCCTGGTCCCTGTCTCCTGTCACCTCTATTGAACAAGTCACTTTTTCAGTGCTAGACAGACACAACC